ATTCTTTGTTTTTGATCCAAGGGGTTTGGATCTGTATTCACCAGGGAATTGGTGAAAGGTTTCTCAAGGCTTCCCAGGGAGGGAATCCAATTGGGAAATGGTGGCAGCGGGACCAGAGCTAAGCTGGTAGTTAAGCTTAGAAGTTTTCATGCAAGCCCCTACATTTGTACCCTAAAGTTCAAAGTGGGGATACAGCCTTGACACGACTCAATTCACAAGCAATAATGGCTGTACATCGCTCTGGTCGGTCACTGTTTGAATTGTCCATCAGGGTACGTACATTCCAAGTTCCAAAGTTGAAAAGTTTTTACATTTTCGACCGCTGAGGTGGTGATCCTGCTGAATGCAGCTATCCAGCCAGGAAAAAAGGAGGAAAGATTATTTTTAAGGTACCTTTTCTAAACCCCTCCCCATGTGGGGTGAGCAGAGTGAATCTTAAAAAGGACTGCTCAATCATGGGTGCAGCTGCTGAGATACTCGACCCGCCTCAATCCTCGAGCAAGACAACTGTATCCCACGCCCACCGCCTGTGTGTCGGTCTGTGACTAGGAACTTCCGGATTTCAGTGTCCTGTTCCCATCACCACTCGCCAATCGCCACCGGACTTTTGACTTGTGCAAAAGTCATTCTCCTAAAAACTGGAAGATGCCTGTGCGGAATTTCTTTTAAAGTGGTAAGACTGATGCACAACCGTCACCACACTATCCTTGACAGATAGAGGACTTTAAACCAATGGCATGGACACCATGACAATTGGAAATGCTCTATTTGCTGCAGCCTTCATCCACCTTCACAGCTGTTGTAACATTACACAACAGTTTCACCTCCATTGTGCAGTTGTCCTCCATCTGCTCTGCTGTTAGGGACTTCTTGGATCCAAGAAGTCCCAAGAAGAAGCTAGTGACATACAGAGGTGACTGTGACATTACCTGATTAAAATATGACCATGTAGATTATTGTTGCTACCACTGTGATATAATTGCAACAAATCTTATACAAGGCGTGTCAAGAAAGGCGTCTATGGAACGGTTCTGATTTGCTGAATAGGATTATACTATTTGTATGCATGTATCATTTTGTATTTGAAGTTATGAGTATTGTCCGTATTCCTGTATTTCAAATATGTTTGCTCCTGTGGTAACGCCCACAAGGTATTTAGCCTGCACATCTTGAAGGGACTATACAAATTAAACGGCTCATCAAGGAACACTTAACTCACAATGGACCATGGAAGACGCCCATGCACACCTGATGGACGTCTAACTAGCGTACCGGTAATGGCTTCTGCTATGACTGAGCAAAATCATGCATGGACATGTGACTTGCCCATGTGACTCCAAACACCATCTTGTTACCTGTAATTTTCCACAGTAAGAACAATGGATTTCCCTTCAACTGGCAAAAGCTATAAAAGGCCCTAGAAACACCTCCATTTTGCCTCTTTCCTGCTCAAACCTCTGGACTATGAACTTATGCTAATGGGAGCATTCTAACCAAAGGACAGAGGACCTTCCAATGATTTGGAAGCAACCAGAGATTTAACAAGACAGCATGAGCGGCAAGTTCTATGGGCCCGTGGTGCCTGGGCACCATGGGCTTGGCTCCAGCATTCTGAGGCCCGGTCTCTCCCTTGGCCCCGCCTTCCGCCCGGTGCGTCCCCCAGGCCATTTAAAACAGCCCATGGCCCCCACTCATCACTGGCAGCGCAGCAGAGCTGAGCAGCTTCCTGACTGCTCACTCCACGTGGCTGCCGGCCCCTCCCTGCAGCCCCTGGGCAGGGTGGGTCTGTGTGCCATCCCAAGAGCCCCTGTGGCCAATGGGAAGCTGCGGGGGCAGTGCCTGGGGGTAGCAGCACATGGAGACTCCCGGCCCACCCTGCCTAGGAGCTCCAAGTAAGTGCCACACTCCCCCACCCCTTCCCAGAGTCTGCACCCCGCTCTTTGGCCCCCAAACTCCCTCCCAGAGCCTGAACCCCGACTCCCAGCCCAGAGCCAGCACCCAAACTCCGACCCAGAGCCTGAACCCCTACCCCCTTCTCCCACCCCCTCTCCTGCCCCCAAACTCGCTCCGAGAGCCTGCACCCAAACTCCCTTCCAGAGCCTACAACCCTCACCCCCTCCTGCACCCCAACCTCTTGCACAAGCCCAGCGCCTAGATCCAAACTCCATCCCAGAACCTGCACCTCCACCCCCTGCCGCAACCCGGAGCCTGCACCCAGCACCCAAACTCCATCTCAGAGCCTGCACCCCAGACCCCCTCCCCCACCCAAACTCCTTCCCAGAGTCCAGCCTCTCACCCGTCCTGCACCCCAATCCCCTGCTCCAGCCCAGGGCCTGCACCCCAGACCTCCTCCCCCCACCCAAACTCCTCCCAGAGCCTTAGGCAGGTTGGGGGCGGAGTTGGGGGGGGCAGGTTCTGGGCACCACCAAAATTTCTACAAACCTGCCACCGCTGCAAGCCAGCAGTTTATTCCATCACTGCTACAGGACTGATCCAAGGACTTGGCAATTATTGTGTGTATTTGATTCCTTTAACCAATTTTAACTCTCACCTTTCTTTCTTTTTTATAAATAAACCTTTAGATTTTAGATACTAAAGGATTGGCAACAGCATGATTATTGAGTTATATATTGACCTGGGTATGTGGCTGGTCCTTTGGAATCAGAGGACCCTTTTGTTTGATGAAATGGGTTTAAATAACCACTCTCTTTAAGTCTAATGTCTGGGTGTTGAATCCAAGATTGGAATGCCTAAGGAGACTGTTTTTCTGACTTCTTGTTAGCCAGTGTGGTGAAACAGAAATTTACTTTTGTTGTTGGTTTGGGAGCATAACCAGCAGTTTTGGGGGGTGTCTGCCCTGTTTCTCAGCAGTTTGTCCTGAATTTGGTATTCTCAATTGTGACCCACGAAGGCACAGTGACAGTGACCCCCACCCAGCTAGGGTTGCCAGGCATCTGGTTTCCGACCGGAATGTCCAGTCGAAAAGTGACCCTGGTGCCGCCAGTTAATACTGCTGTTAGTTACATGTTTGTATTTTGGGCATTCACACCTTGTGGCTGTTAGAAGGTGTGAATAATAATTTGCTCGGCCACTGATATTCTTTTTAAAGGATCTCCTCAATAAGATCTATCCTGATAAAATGAAGTTCAATAAATAATATGTAATTGGCATGTCAACATTATGGTTTTGTACATACAGCGTGAAGAGTTTCTATATTGCCAGATATGTCTCATGTATATAAAGCAACTTCTGAGAACAATTCTGACCTTTATGTATTTATTTTACAATAGGTCTATGTGCAAGGATAGCAATACTCTTATGATTATTAAAGTGCCTCACTTTGCATATTTCATACCCTAAAAACAGGCTTGCAGAGCCTCACTTAATTAAAAGACTACCACTATATTAATGAAATGCTATAAATATTTCTTGAGTACATATTTAGAGCACAGGTCACCAGGAGAGCATTATAAAGGCACACTTTATCCTGCCATATCCAAAAACTTTAGCAGTATTTCCACTATAACTCCTTTCATACGTATATATGCTTGGACAGGACTCCTCTTTTTCAGCCCTGCCTGCACACTATTAAAAAAGATTTCCTGGTAAGGCTGAACTGTCAGTATTGACAGGTCATAACTTAATTAAAATAGTTTTAAAACTCACTGGGGCTCCATATTATCTGGAAGACAGTTTAGATAAGTTATGTCTTGTCTATATTGGAATCATAGCTCGACTAACAAACAGTTTTTAAAAAACAATAGCATATTCAGGGCATTATGAATATTTAATTGTAAATTAAAATACATGTGGATAATATGCCAAGAAAATACAATTTTTGTGGCATACCTGACATATTTTCCTTTCTCCCCTCTCTTTTATCAGTACCCTTTCCTCCTCCATAATCTAGCACTTCTACAGATGCTAGTTGCAATCTAGTACCATACTAGGAGCACAACAAAAATGTTTAGCTATAGGTAGTGATCTAGCATCTAAGGTTAGTTACAAAGCATTACCATTTAGAAATTCTTCCTGTGACCTCTTCTGGGACACTGCATCTTCACAGAAGAAATGGTTCTATTTGTGGTTTTCCAGAATTATTCCAATTTATGTAAGGCCTAAGTGCTAAGAATATTATTGATGCCTTTTTTTTAGGTAAGAGATATAAAAGAGTAAAAAGACATTCTTGTAGTTACAGGAGCTCTCCAATCCAAATGAACAGGCATACATAAATCATGATCTATAATAGAAATCCTGAAAGACTTTAGCTGTAGTAGCACAAGAAAACAACACTATTATAGTTAGCATTCTCTGAGCGCTCCAGTCTAAAGTTCATGTACAGATAAGAGTTAAAACTTAAAAAAAAAAAAGATTTCACAAGTCTGGCTTTTTTCAGTCTCAGAGTAAATCAAGCAAGGTCTCCCTTATACAAGGATATGCAATGTCACACAACATGTAAAAATGCAACTAATTATACCCATAGAAACAACAGGTCTGTTAATATGTACACAGTATTACCTGAACCACTATTAGTTTTTCAAAGCATGTTCTGTATTTTTTCCTTGACAAACGATCTTACTTACGTAGCTCTCAGCAACACTATGTAAGGTTGTACATGATTAAATATATACGAAAACATTTACTACCACAAAAAGCAGCACACACATCCAAAGAATTAATCTGATAGGATTTTCAGATCTGCTTGTCTGTGATGGGAAGAAAATAAGAGTCACTCCTCATTAATTGCAAGCGTAACTTCTAGAGTCACAGTCAATTGCAGTAGGAGATACATGCTCTAAAGACATTTAGATTTCAAGTATATACAACAAAAATTAAGACATTTACCTGAAATTCTGGCACCGCAGGCTTTGTGACAGCTTTCCTCTTCTTTGTAATTGCTTTTTTAGATATGGATTTTTTTCCTTGTAAGATTAAAAGAGAAAAGCTTCATAATGCTGTTTATTGCGCTTCATTAATAAAACCAAATTACATACAACCTTGAAAGTTATAATTTAACTAACAGATAGCTGATGGTGAGTCATGTAAACATCATGAAACAGAACCGGACTCAGCAAAAGCAAACATTAAACTACAAGTACCTGTGTGCGGGGCAGCCTTATTTCAACAATGAACAAACCCAGTATAAACTCCAACACACCAAATGAAAATTAAGAACATTAGTAAACTATGAAAGAAACATTCACACTACCATTGTGATGGGGGGATGGGGAGAGGGGGAAGATGCATAATTTAAACCAGAAACATAAATTGGTTTAAAAAACAAAAAAAAACAACAAAAAAAACTTACCTACAAAAACTCTTCTCTGATGTTAGTAATCCCACATTGATCCACACACTAGGCCTGAGGCCTTTGGCATGTGATATTAAGTGTGCTCTCAGAGCACAAGTAATTTCTAGAAATCACCTCATGGACACACTGGAGTTACCATACCAGAGGAGACCACTGCTCAGTCTAGTCCAGCAACCTGTACCTGGCTGCAGCCAAAACCTAATCTTGCTTTAGAAAAGGCAAACACCTTCCCCACAATGTGTTTCCTTCCCAATTGCACAATGTAATGATATGAAAGAAAAATTCCTATTCAACTTTAAAGGCAATCAGTTTACCCTTGAAATATCAGGGATAATATTCCTTGTAACCTCTCAATCTAACAAAATAGCTATAAATGTTACATGTGGGCAAGATACCCAGGGAATAAATTTCTTTATTTCTACAACCACCCAGAACTGTACATATTTAACATCATTGATCTCTTCATTTGCACTCTAACCATTAATCCATCTCTGCCAAGACTACTATTACTATTCCAAATCTCAGAGTAATTTGCAAAAAGCTGCAAATGAACAAAAATAACCAAATAATTTAAAAACAACCTACCACATAAAGTTCCCTTTTTTCCCCCTCTAGTATGGATCAGGTAAAAAATTACCAAGTTCTTCTCATTGACTTGTCTGGAGTAAGTGTTTTGGGTTTTTTTGTGAAGTGATTAAAATTTCATTAACCATATTTTGGTCCATATTTTTCCAAATTTAGTCTGATAAATTTTAATTATTATTTTAGTGTGCAATGTGCTTTGTAGTGAATATTCAAAGATATGGCTCCTGTTAAGATGTATCCAGAACAGCATAGAAAATAATAGTGAAAATATTATTTATATATATCAATGATACATTGTCACCTGGAATACTCTGTTATGGAATATTCTGTTCTCATCACACTATTTCAAAAAAGATATAGCAGAAACAGAAGTGGTCTAGAGATGGGAGACAAAAATAACTGTGGAAATGGAAAGACTTCCATATGAGAAGCAGCTGAAAACCACTGGGATATTATAATTTAAAAAGAACACGAATAAAAGAGCACATGATAGATGAACACAGAATAATTAATAGTATAAACAAAGACTGAGCACTCCTACCTGCTATAACAACATATGAACAAGGGGACATTCAATTAAACTGAAAGGTGACAAATTATACAACTATTAAAAAGAAATCATTTTTTTTCAAAACGCATAAAGAATGTGTGGAACTCATTGTCACAATGTCTCATCGTGGCCAACTACTTAATAGGATTCAAAAACTGATTACATATTAATATGGATAATGAGAACATCCACAGTTACATAAAAATTATATATATTTTAATAGAAGGGATTTATAAACCCCTTGGAATCACAGAAATGTAGGACTAGAAGCAACCTCAACAGGTCATCTAATCCAGTTCCCTGCACTGAGGCAGGACTAAGTATTATCTAGACCATCCCTGTTAGTCTAACCTGTTCTGAAAAACCTCCAATGACAGCCGTTCCACAAACTCCCTAGATAATTTGTTCCAGTGTTTAATTACCCTTACAGCTAAGAAGTTTTTCTTAATGTCTAACATAAATCTCCCTTGCTAAAATTTAAGCCCATTACTTCTTGTCCTTTCGTCAATGGATAAGGAAAACAATTTATTATCTTCCTCTTTATAACAACCTTTTATGTAATTGAAGACTGTTATCATGTCCCCCTCAGTCTTGTCTTCTCCAGACTAAACAAATCCATTTATAAATCTTTCCTCATAGGTCATGTTTTCTAGATCTTTAATTAATTTTGTTGCATTCCTATGGACTTTCTCCAATTTGTCCACATCTTTCCCAAAGCGTGGTACCCAAAACTGAACACTTTACTCCAGTTGAGGCCTTATCAGTGCTGAGTAGAATGGAAGAATTATTTCTTGTGTCTTGCTTACAAGACTCCTGCTAATACATCCTGGAATGATGTTTGCTTTTTTTGCAACATTATTACATTGTTAACTTAGATTTAGTTTGTGATCCACTATAACCCCCTTCTCTGCAGTACTTGTTTCTAGGTAGTCATTTCCCATTTTGTAGTTGTGCAATTGATTATTCCTTCTTAAGCAGAGTACTCTGCATTTGTCCTTACTGAATTTTATCCTATTTATGTCCAGATCATTTTGAATTCTAATCCTGTCCTCCAAAGTGCTTGCAACCTCTCCCAGCTTGGTATTGTCCACAGACTTTCTAACTACTCTCTATGTCATTATCCAAATTTATGAAGATATCTAGAATTGGACCCAGGACACATCCTTGTGAGACCCTGTGATGGGTTCCCCCCAGGGTGCCACCTGGAGCTGGGGTACCACTGAACCCTCTGACCCACCAGCCTGGGCTCCCTCTCACACTGTACTGCTGTAACAAGTTGAAAAGCCCTGCAGCCTGCACTTTCACCAGCATACATACAGGTAGGGACACACCCAGCTGCAGTTACATGCAGGCTCTCTGACCAGCCCCTGCATAGGAAGGCCACAGCTAAGGTAACTCCCAGCTCCCCAGGCACCCTCTCCTCCCCCCCCCGGAGTATAAACCCAAAATTATACCGTCTGGCGCTGCACAGGGAACTGTACAGCATAAACTCATAAAGTTCACCCCCTCCCTCAATGTGAAGAGGAATATGCAACAGTCTTTGCCCATTGAGCTAAAATTCCCATATACTTCACTCCAACTCATTGGTTTAGATAAAATAAAAACAAGTTTATTAACCACAAAAGATAGGTTTTAAGTGATTATAAGGGATAGCAAACAGATAAGCAGATTACCTAGCAAATAAACAAAAAATGCAAGCTAATCTTAATATACTAAACAGATTGGATATGAATTAGCAGATTCTCACCCTAAGAGATGATACAAGCAGGCTACAGATTCTTTAGGAGGCAAGCTGCACTTGCTTTACAGCTTGGAATCCCCAAGTGTTTCATTCACAGGCTAGAAATCCCTTTAGCTTGGGCCCACCACTTCCCCCAGTTCAGTCTGTCCTCAGGGGTTTCCTGGAGTCTTCTTGCATTGGGAGTGAAGACCACTACAAGATGTCACTCCCTGCCTTATACAGCTTTTGCGTATGGTGGGAATCCTTTGTTTCAAAGCTTGGTTCCCAGACCAGTCTGTGGAAAAATACTGACATCCCAAGATGGAGTCCAGCAGTATGTGGTCAGATCACATGTCCTTGTAGATTCATAGCAGCCATTACTCACAGGCTGTGTAGAGTGGTCTCAGGAAGGCTTATGTGGGAGATAAGCTTCTCCTAATGCCTACTGTTTTTTCCTAATGGTCCATTGCCATGAATAGGCCCTTCCCCACCCATTATCTAGACTGAAAGCATCTTGTCTATTGTGAATTACCGAGGTGTAACTACATTTGAAATATAGATACATAGTCAATATGCAAAACTTCTCCAATGACATCTCACATAACTTATCTTGCATAAAATCAGGGTGGAAAAAATGATTTTTAAAAAAAATTTTTTTTTAAAATCGGATTTTTTTGATAAAATGCTTTTTAAGGAAAAAACTATCTAAAAATAGTTTTAATTAAGATACATTATAGCTCACTGATATCTCCTCATGGAATAGGGATTAT